TCTATCCACTCTCCACGAAGCCTGTTGCCACTTGCAGGAGTCTCCCCCCGCGCTTCAGACCCTCCCCTTTCATTAACTGCAGGACATGGGACAGAGCATCCTCCATTTACCCAGTCACAGACGCCTGCGGCAAAACAAGGGCTCTGGCAGCTCTCCACACCCCCGCGGCAGCGTGAGGCCATGGGTACTACGAGGGTAGGGCCCGGAGTGGCCAAGAAACAGTATGGCTGCTCCTGTGAAGGGAGCATCGCTTGCTGTGGGAAACTTCTGCTGTCTGTTCTTCAAAGTCAGAAGAGAAACAGCCTCAACAATAAGCAGGTTAGGTGGTTTTCATCTCTGCTACCTGTAGAAATCATACCCGTAGAAAAGGCACATTTTACTGCTTCCAGTTGTTTTACAACACAGAGCACCTTGCCATTAGCAAGTGTCAACCAAAGTGAGTACCACCGGCAGCAGAGTTTTCTAAGTCTAAGACAATTTAAAAACTTGTTGCCATGACAATGGGCAGATCTGTTCCCTCCCTCACTCCTCTTCCTGCCTCCCATTCCCACACCAGCTTTGGCTCTTAGGGAAGCAACCAAGCCTATCAAAAGTATTCGGGTTGTTTGGTACTTGATTTTTTTCCTGCTAATTGTGTGAACTGAACTTGTTCACAAAAGGGACAAATAAACCCCTAGATCTAGCTGAAGGCAGGTCAGCTCACCCCTTTCAGCAGCACTGAACTGATATATCAACTCAGCCTAAGTATGGGCTCTTGTTAAGCTTGTTGTTAAGATTTCACCTGTTTCAAAGTTACCACATTGTACCAATGGAGATGGGGTGCTGGTGCAGCTGAACGTCGTAGTCTGCAGCAGTCAAATTCTACTCTCTAACAAGAAAAATATAGGACAGGCTGAAGAGGTGCCTGGTGAGGATCACTATGCCATGCATGTAGTGAGGAATGGGTTCATCACAGGGAACCTGAGGGTTTGCAATACCCCACCTCAGATGAGGCTGTTGGACTGGCTTATAGGTTTTGCCTGTTTTGCAGTTAAAGTTGGGTTTTAACTAATTACAGATCTTTTAAGTCTTGCTTTTTTTATCTCATCCAGCTTAAAAAATTAATGATTCTTATGTAAGAGGTCATTCTTACACTGAAGACAAAATCCAGGAAGTTGGAAAAACAAAAATAGTCCCCAAATACTTTAACATACCCTCCAATATATACACGCACCAAAATACACTTCTGTACTATTTAGACATTTAAAATGGCTAATTTCTGCAGGTTTTGTATTGATTTTCAACAGAACCTCAGCAGCAGGATTTGCTATCGATGGCAAGGAAGTGAGTCGTTACAAGATTGAAGCGTAAGATGCAAAAAACACCACACTGAACTTCTATATATGGGCTTAGTTGAGTGCATTTCACAAACGTTACGTGGCAAACACACAGAATCGACACATTACGAGGGAAAGGATCCACAAAACAGCTTGTAGAGGAAAAGGGAAGGAAACAGGTGCTGAACGCAGCAATCCTGTACACTGGGGCACAGCTTCATGTGCAACTGAGCTAGTTGCATGTGGCTCATTGCTGCCAGAAAGGGAAATTCTCCCTCACCCGCTCCCCCCTCAACAGTCAATATCTGCCTTACAAAACACTTTAACTAATTAAGGATTGTATTTGGCTGCATGGGTAGGACAGAGAACAGCCCCAAGAAAGGTAAGGATTAAACAAACACTTGTACTGAAGGAAGGCTTCCAGCACCGTGGTTGGGGCAGCAAGAGGAAAAATGAATGATTTGCAACCAGTCACCTGTTGTAACTTTCTCAAAAAGCATCTTAGAATAGATCATTTATTTATGAGAAACCCACCATTAACAGAAACGCACAGGCAAAGAAAAAAAACAATTCAGAGTTTTGGCTTGGTGCGCTGCTCATGCTTTCAATAACATTTCTTTTTTATTAAACTTAAGAACATCAGAAGATACTCTCTGAAGTATTTTGGTACAAATTGCCCAGAACCGAGTTAAAGCCTTTAGATTATCAACGAGATTCAACAAAAAGTACACATTTAAAACATTTGCAAACTTTGGTGACCAGCACACAGGCTTCAGACTGGTGCTCTGCTTTTTTCCAAAGATGTAGAGTGGAAAAGTACCTCGTTACAAGAAAGGCCAAAAGATGGGTTTATAACAGCAATAGATGCCTCAGCTCCTCCCCAGCCTCAGCTCCTCCATACCAAAACTGTAATTATTTTGAATAATATTAGCTTTAAACCCAACTGGAAGACAGTATTTGTTAGTCCCTCTAAAAATGTGGGAGAATGGTTGTAGCCAGGCAGGGTAGTTATGTGAATCTTTACAGTTATGCCATTACTGACAGCTCCAGTTTTCAGTTGCTTTTACCCCTTTTGGTTTAACTTTCTCCATCACAGCTGTCTTCGGGAATTCTTGTTTTGGGGTTGGCTTTTTTTTTGTTTAAATATTGTATGTTTTTAACCAGAATCAAACCACTTTGAGTATGAAAATTAAATAGCACTAGATATAGGTAATATTATCATACAAGAATAAAGTTGCAGAACATGAGCAATAAGAAAACAAAAGTATCTTTTTTCCAACAACAGTTAAGAGTCAGAGCTGCAAAAGTGACCTCTATGAACTAATTTTAAACACTAACAGGGTTTAACATTCAAAGTGATGTAAACGCCAATACTAGAAAACAAGCTGCAGTCAACAGAAGACCAACTAAATTTTTTTAGTCTGGAGGCATACATTATTAAAACTTTTCAGAATATTCAGCTTTGTAACTCAAAGTGATCCCCCTCAAAACCAACAGCTTTGAAACAGTTTACAGGAAGCTTTGCCTAACACAGGAGAAAGCACTGCCACGGTCTTAATCCTCATTCTCTCTCGTGTCCATCGTTCTGCTGATCTACTCCGCAACAGGACTTTTAAACATTTGAAGGATCGTCTTTTGCTTATTCTTAGGTAATGAACAAGTATCATTTGAGTCACTGGTGTTAACCACACAGTTCAAAACTTTTCCTCCCTTGATGCCGGGCGATTTCATTCGGACTCTGTTAGGGGACTGCCGGTTTTCATTGCAAGAGCCTTTCCGAGTCTTGCGGTGATTTGCTTCAGCCTGCTTTTTCGGTACCTTTGAGTCTTTTGACACCTTAGAACTTCCCTTTCTAGCAGGAGTGTCTTTCGCAGACTGAGGTGGTTTGGCACGAAGCAGGTACTCATCTGGAGAGCCCTTTTGTCGATTAAGTGTCCTTTCCTCCTTGTCGATCTGTTTTTGCAACTGCAGAGCCAGAAGCCTGTCCTGCTCCTCTTGCATATGCCTTTCATAGAACTCCTGTTCAAAGGCTTTCTGCATTTGCAAGTTAAAATCGCTGATCTGCTCTGCTTGGTCCTCTAAACTTTGGGGAAAAGTTCTTCTCCTTTTATCAAGCACGCACAAGTCAACCACAGCTTCAGTTGGTGGCTCCTCCAGCTTTCTTTTTGGAGTCTCCTTAGTGTTCTGCAGCCTCTCTGGCTTCCCTTCATCTGAGTGTCCAGCCACCTTCGTGAGATCACTTCTGCAGTCAGATATCACAGAATTTGTTGCTGACTGAATACAGGTAGAAGTATCAGCAGAATTTTCAACGTTTATGCTTTCTACATGTGTTAAATCGCCACCATCCGACTCATTTCCATCATCATCTCCTTTGGATCTAGGAAGGACTGTTCTAGATCCTTCCCCTCTTGTGATTCCATGAAGCGCATCTGGAACTTCACCTCCTGGACAATTTGGTCCTGGTGTTTTTTCCTGTTTGACAGCAGCGGTTTCCCCTGAGGCCGAGGCACTGAAATACTTCATGCACGATTCCAAAAACGAATCCTTAGCACCGGAATCTTTACTCACACCGGTCAGCTGTGGAGATAGCGTTGGCATATCCTCTTGCTCATCTTGCCACGCAGAACTGCTGCTTTCACTGCTGTCGGCCTCCTGCAGAAAAGGGAGAGACCATTAATAAAGTACATTTGTCAAAAGCCAACGGGTATGAATAAAATGCACATCTCGCTTCTCATAGCTGCGCTGCTCCTAACTACTCTGGGATATTAACTCGGATTCTTCTCTTTTAAAAAATACATTAATTGTTTAATAATAATGACAATACTTAAAACAACCTACAGAAGCCCAGCTGAAAGACTGAAAACGTAGCCACAGCATTCTCCTCCTATGAATGACTTCACTCAACCGCTCAAGGTATTAACCTGCTCATCGTCTTTAGGAGTCTAGCAGGGAACATCAGACGGACAGACGTGTGGAATGATGAAAATCAGAGTGTAACCTCCTCCAGCGAGCTCCCGAACCACTGTTTCGGTTTTATACACCGCCAGTTGCAATCCGGAGCTCACTGGACACTCAGGTACGGTACTTGTAAGGCTACGCAATGTAACCATCAAAGTAAGCCCCAGGCATGCATCTGCCGACTGTCAAGCATGGTTTCTTCCCTCTCCACTTTGGGGAATCACGAACGCTGAAAGTAGTTCAAAAAGGGTAAGATAAACCACCCAGCGCTGATGTGCAAGTGGAGTGTAAGACTGGCAATCCTACAGGCAAGGGGAAAGTAACCCACAATTACTGAGATATGTAACAAAAGGATTCTAGTTACCACAGAGCCAGACTTCCTCCTGCCTCTTTCTGTTGTTCTAGAGAATGCTGCTGATCCCGGTGTATGATGAAGCTTTGGAGACAGATACCTTAAAGAGGGTGGGAGGGAAAAAAGCACACCTTTTAAAACTTATTTTCTTGAATTATCAGTCCTTTGCATTAATCAAGATCTTCAGGTTCATTCTGACAAACAAAAACAACAGAGAAGGGCAAGTTTTCCTTTCTCCTCCATATTATCCTATGAGGAGATGGTTTAACAGTTTACAGTTGCCCCACATTATCCAGGGATGTTGGACTACAGGATTCCAAGGAAGCAAATGGAGCAGAGGGACACTATACCAAGAAAATCAAAAGAAGAGAAACTTGAATTGCTTACTTCTGAATGTCTCCAGAGTTGCTCAGTTTGTGTTTCACCTTGCACAAATTAACTGGGGATGTTTCGGGTGAGAGGCTGCCAGCTGGCGAAGGGCTGCTGAGCACGTGTCCTTTGGAATCGTCATTCTTCCATGACATGTAAAAATAGCATTATATAAACCAAAACACAACCCAAACTGGAGAAAACCCAGAGGACTACTTTGCTTCTGCTGCAGAACTAGTTACTATTGTCCAAAAATTCTAGAACTGCAAGTAATGGATAATTATGGAATAAGAAGTGTCATGCGTTCTGTACAATTTCCTGTATCTGGCATTAAGGGACAAGAGGTTTTGCTCAAATAAATACCATTTCAGCACTGGGACTATTATCAGGCAGCAAAAAATAACCAACCCAAACCCCAAAACGAATTAGCAAAACAAACAAGCAAGCAAAAAACCCCAAACACAAGGTAAACGTTCATCCTACGTTCCTTTTTTTCAGCACAGGGTATATACTTGATTTTAAAAATACTTCTTTGGAAGAAATTGATGTAAAGTATTCAGAAAAAATTAAAATGTTTTGCAATGAAAACACCCAGCATACATTTCAAGTGCATATTACACAGCTAAAAATGTTTGGGATATTTCAGCCTCCCATTGGTTCTTCAAAAGTTAACAGTCAGTCAAGGATCTTGTGCTGGTTTCAGTCAGGACAGAGAGAATCTTCTTCACAGCGGCTGCTATGAAGCTGCGTTTTGGATTTGCCCTGGGAACAGTACTGATAAGGTGGTTTGAGTTGGTGCTGAGGAGCGTTTGCACCAACTCAAGGACTTCCTCAGCTTCTGATACTGCCCCTGTGTTCCCAGATTTCTCACTACGGGCAGCGTGGGGGGGACACCGTTCTGGCAGCCAACCTAAACTGACTGAAGGAGTACTTCATTCCACAGCACGTCATGCTCGGTCCATAAGTGGGGAGCGGGCTGGGGGCTACAGCTCCTTTGTTAGCTAGCTTGTTAGCTCGCCTGCTTGTTAGCCTGCTCGCTCACTAGTGAGTCAGTGGGTTGGTTGGCTTTCCCAGTCGTGCTGTTGCTTGTGGGGCTCACTCGGACTCTGCTGCGATCACTCTCAAGCTCTGGCTCTGACTTGCTACTTGGGCCCAGGCTGTGTATCGGTCGGCAGGTGGTAAGCAATTGCATGATTTGTTTTATTTTCTATTATTTTCATTACTTATTATTAGCATCACTAGAATATTAATTTTTACTTAATTATTAAATTGTTCTTATCCCAATTCACAAGCTTCCTTGTCTTCTCCTCTGATTCTCCTCCTCCACTGGAGGAGGGGGGAAGGTGAGCGAGTGGCTGCGTGGTACTTCACTGCTAGCTGAGGTTACACCACAGCAGATCTAAAGCACTGGGGGCTGACAACGCCTTCCAACTACAATTAAACTATTCAAAATTTCAACTTTTGCTCTGAAATGTTTTTTTGTTGCTTGTCCTATATCACCATTTTCTACTGCTCCCCTTGATCCTAACTCACCAGACTGTTACTCAGCTGCCAGGCCAACTCTTCATCCTGCTTCAGTTGTTTCTCCATCTCCCTCCGTCTCTCTTCTGCCAACCTGTGTTCCTCCTCCTCTTCTGCTAGAAGCCGTTGAATGTATTCCTCGCTTGCCTTGTTCTCCTCTTGTTCATGCGCTCGCCTTTCTGCCTCCACCTAAAAAGTATTTTTGGAGAGGTCACTACCATAGGACCACACTTCACACCAGAACCTCTCAGCTGACACTCCCTGAACATGAACATCTGCTGTTCACAAAGACACTCTGCACACTTGAGTGCCAGTATTTGACGACACAACTCCCCAGAGATGTAAGAATCAAACCGATCTTGTGTGTAGAGTCTTCAGTTTGATAACAGTGAAACCTTTTGGTTTCTGTAAGACTACACCATTAATCATGCTAGCATGCAAGGTTAAAATTCATCTACTCACCTTGGAAAATGTTAGTAATAAAAACCAAGATCTCCAAATACGTAGATCACAGAGAAACTCCAGTTAAGATTCGTTATAAGACTGGATGCCAGATGGAGCACAGCGTTTGCTCCACCTCCTTATATCATCAAGATATAAGACAACACATCTCTCAACAAAGACAGCACATCTCTCTTCCGAGTCCTCTGCTCTCTTGGAACACGCAAAACCCAAAGCAGCAGACCCAGAATTTCAAGTCTGCCTTCTTTACGGCAGACATCCATTCCTGGTAAATCAGTTATCAGTGACTTCACAAGGACAGCAAATCACTTCAAGACCGAATGAAGCTTTCTTAACTGGGTAATGGAATTTGGAAATTTGCTTTAGAAACAAGTGTCCAGCTGCAATACTACAGAAGCTACGTTAAGCCTGTTTCAATTTTTTGGGAACTATGAAGGATTGGTTAAGAGACCTGCCTGGGCGCCCTGCTGCGTCCAGACCTCTGTGTGTTTCCCAGCCGGCAAAGCACACCTACCCGCAGAGACAACAAGTCAGCATGTGTTACTGGACCAACCGAGAGCGTGAGGTAGGAGACAGAGATCAACTAGCACAAAAAAACCCTTAAGAAACATGGATTTATGTCCAACACAAAAAGTCTCTCCTCTTTCAGAAAGGATAAAAATGTAATTCATGCTTTGGGAATGACCAGTGTGTTCTTGCAGCAGCAATGCCCTTTTAAGTATCTTTTTTTTTCATTAGGTAACATTATAGCTGTTTGTGGGAACAATTAAAATAACTAGAAATAATGGATTTATGCTTTTAACTATGTTTTTAGAATTACCTTGCTAATCTCTGCTTCGTACTCCTGCCTCAGCTCCCCAGGCTTGCTCAGCTGGTGTTGTGGGTGAGGGACACAGACTAAATGAGAGGGGGGGAAAAAAGTGTGAAACAAAGCAAGATCAACCATGAAAGATTTTAACAACAGATCTCCCTGTCCCAGGAATGCTTTGACTGAAACCAAGCACTGTCGAGGAAAAAAAAAAAAAAAAAGCAGCACTTCGTCTTACAAAGGAACAAAATTAAAAAAGCACTGTGATACACAATAGCAAGAACAGTCAGTGGTTTCCAAGCACTGTCTATACAGCAAATAACAAAGCTGACCCACCAATTAGCCTCCCCCAATGGAGCTTACTACATCATAAATCCCAAAATGCTTCTTTAAAGAGTTAATCAGGTTTCACTTCCTTTTCTCTGACATTACAATTTTAGGCTCAAAGACTCCTGCACAGGCTGAAGCCCTGGAATTTCTAAAGCAAACTAATTAACAGCATCTAAGAGTTGAAAAAAAAAAAAAATTAACCACGGAACAGTCAGCAAGCCTGTCGATGACACCACGCTGAGGGGGGCAGTCGACACGCTGGAGGGGACA